AACTTACCAGATAATTTTTGTTGGATGAGACTGGTAACCTAATTTTCTCCTATCTTCTAAATGAATTTAGAAATCTTACCTCTTCCATCCACATTTGATAGAATATTTCAAAGTACAATTTCTGAGACTGTTTATGTGTAGAATTAGGAGGAAAGTGTGATAGCTATACACTCATTTAAAAAGCTCAGTAGTATTTCTTGAAGCATTCCAGAAATACATGGCAAGAGACCATCTGGTTCAAGCAAATATTTAAATCTATGCTGGCCAGTTATTTATACAAAGCAAATACATTGATGATTACTTTGGATTGGTTTGCCTGATATACTAGCAGTTGGAATGCCAAGCTAGGAAGCCATTTGCTGGAGGAATACATCTTCCTTCACAAGTTTCAATTCATTTCTATCTGACAGAAGAAACCTGTCTTACTGTCTTCCCTGGGGAATAGAAATGAGAAGCAACTTAACTGCCATTCCTAGCTTGGGTGTGGCAGTTATTCTCCTTTTGCTTGAGGGATTCTCTTCCTAATCACCAACATAGTTGATGCATCCTTTGTTAGTGCTTGGCCCAGTTTCCCTTCTCCTGACATTAGAGAACCACTTTGCTTTAACACCAGACCTACAGTGTTCCCAGTGTAATCTGCTTAGTATTTGACTGGGTATATCTCTCAGTCAGTACTAGCCAACACTATGAAGCTAGGTACACTCTTTCTGAATGTGATACCATCTAGTTTATAGAAATTACAGTTCTCAGTCAATGGGTTATGCTCGCACTCTAAGTTGAAAGGGTAGTATCTGGATAGATGAGACAGAAGAAAGTTGTAGTTTATGATTCTTACGCTCATAACACTATTGCAAAACTAGAAATATCCAAGCAGAAGGCGATAAGGATTTTTCAGGGTAATGATACATTTGGCTCGGGAACTTCCAATACCATCAATTAATAATATACTTTTATTTAAGTCATTTTATATACTCAGGATTTCTTTTTAAATTATACATTTTTCAGTTACTTTTTTATATTATACTATATAGAAAACAAATAGTATATAAAAACATTGAATATAAAAGTATATGGGCAAGCATGCTAATTTTCAAAAGTTAAAGTAGTTTTTTTGTAGAAGAATATTTAAATATATATAGTATTCACTGTTTGCCTAGAATTCTCCTCCAAACTTAGTAATGCTGAATGAGAACTAGTCATAACTGACTTTTCTTTTTCATTTGAATAGGATTATTCTATTCTCTGTGATTTGGCTTTTAACTTTGTGCTAACCTTAACAAATGCTAATAACTCATTTTTGTGATTTATTGATAACAAATCAACAAATCATATTTAAGAAAACTATTTTAGCTTCATGTAAGAACTAAAATATAAGAACCAGATGTACTTCCACCAAAACTTTTCCATTGTGTTCTGCTAATTGTATAAGCTAACTCTTATCCGTCTTAAAGTGCTGTTTTGAAGATTTTGTATGACTTTAAGAAGACAACTCTATTTTAAATTAAAATACCTGACCTATGACTTAAGCTACCTTGTCAAAATCACAAGGTTGTGGTGACTATAAACTAGGATAAGCCTGCATATATTGCACTAAATGCCTTGAAGGAAGACAGCCACACAAATATTGTGATGAAAATTTATTTGGTTTCAATGTCAGAAAAAAAAAACTAGACAGGAAAAACTGGGATTGATGATATATGGTTACTTCTGTTCTATAAGAGGACATGTGGTAAATTAAGTTCTCTTCCACCCTGTTATAATATTCCAAAATAAAATGAATTCTGACGTGCCAGTAACTACAGTATATTCCTATCTTTACTACTAATGCTTTAAAAAATAAAGCATTATTTACACAAACCTGTAAATTTTGAGAAATCTGGGTGTAGTACCTACAAAATATCTAGAAGAAGTCAGGTTGGGGGAAGATTGTTATGCAGAAACAACTGCAAAAATGATAATCAAATAGCTTATAGAATAAATCATAGCTTTTCAACATGTTAGTTTAGCATTTTCAACAACTTATTCTAGTTGGAGAAAACTTTTCCAAACACATCTAGTTAATGGCAGCTGTTGAAACTGCTGCCATTAAGCTTTCCCTACCTTCCTTGCACATACACACCCTGTAAGTTGATTATCTTGATGGCATCAGACATACCTTCTTCTTCTCAAGTTATACTCTGCAGATTTAATAGAAGGCAATGGATTGCTTAGAGTACAAGGGCAACATTTTTTTAGGGAAGAAGCAGCATTTAATTGGTGCCTGTTATTAGTTTCTAGCCATTGGAAAACAAGCTAGGAAATTTATCTGGGACAGAAGGCTGCTACCAAGCAACTCTTATGCTAGATTTCCATTTCTACCCTTTACTTAGGAAGGATTGATGCCATCTCAGTAGGCACTATTTCGTTCTTCTATCTCTTCATTCACTTTCCAAAGCAAATAAAATACTAAAAGCACATTTCATGCTGGGGACTACAACTGGCAGCATTTCTTTTAGGTTTCTTGAGAATGCCCTAGAAAAATTAAGCCTTTAAAAAAATATATATTTGTTGTCCTGTCTTTTAAATACTGGCAATTCCTTCCTTAGCTGTCACTGTTTTTTACCTTAATGGTACTAAAGATTATTTTCCAGTATTGGTAGCTGTTGTCTTCCTGTTTTGTAAAATAGCTGTTTTAAACAAGCAGATATATTTATCTTGCTCCCTTGACACAGAAAAGTAAAATAAAAAGCTGTTTTCCATATACATATGAAATAAATCTGACAAGAGAAAAATATGTTTGAGTATACAGTATATCATTTAAATCCTGGGGTTTAAAATAGAAGACGGACCAAGGCTCTGAACTTAGCCGCTGTGTAATAAGGAAGCTTGCTAACAATCACTGAGGATATATCTTCATATTGGAGTCTTTATATCAGGGCCAGCATGCTGCTGAAGCAGTTTGGCAGAAAGATAATTCATTCCAAAGGTAGAAGCCCTTCTTTCTCTGTAAATGTTCTATGATGCATGGAGGAAGAACCTGAGACAAATCAGTGATAACCATTCCCTCATTCTTCCCCAACCTGCCTGCCTTCTCCATATCCCACCTCCAATGAAGCACAAATCCTTTGCCTCCCCTGTTCCTCTCACCTCTACTATCCCTTCCCCATCTCTGCACTTGTGAGAGAATACTACTGCATCTCCAAAGAGCAGCCATAGTTAATCACAACCCTTGGAAAGATACATGCCTGGATTAGGTGAAGTGGTGAACTTCTGCTGCTGGGGCCACTGATTGTTCTCTCATAAAGTGTGGCTGTAAGTGGAAAAGTAGCAAAGAAAAGAGGAGCAGGGAAGGAAGAACATCTGTTGTTTCATGGCCATGTTCTCACAGTGTTGCAATTCTGGTGTGGTTTAGGTTAACATCCAGTTTTAATGTGCTGAATGCAAAGAGGGACAATGTCTTGCTTTGATTCCATTATGCTTTTAAGTAAGTGACCAAGTTGTTGTTTTTCTCTTGCTGGGTGCAAATTGGATACTGAATGTTACATTCAATTATTAGTCAGCTAAAGGGAGCATTATTGGTTCATTGGGGGCACTGTGTATTATGAGGATGGTAACAGTGTGAGGATCATACATTTTTCGGACCTTTTGGGAGCTGAAACTGTTGTACCACAATCATTTCATTGGACTAAATCAGGAAACAGTCTTAACTGTAGAGCAATAGCAGCCTTTGTGCTTTATAAAGACTATTAACTTATAGCTTGGTGGGAGTCCATGTGTGTGAAACAAGAAAAACATATAAGCTGAACAGCTTTAGTTTTGATGTGGGGAATTTGACGTCCAAACTATAGAAGCAAATGGTAGGAAGCAGCAGACTTTATTCGCAAACTGCATTCTGAAAAATTTCCTAGAGCAAATGCAGATTTATTGAGAATTGGACATTGGGGAAGATTGACTCTTAATGGCATGCATTATGTTTGAGAGTCTAATCCCAATGGGTGTTTTTTCAGAATAGCCATGGAGGTGATGAACATAATAGATCAACCCATCAAGGTGACAGAATGGCAGCAAACATACACCTATGACTCGGGAATCCATTCTGGAATGAACACCCAGGTGCCATCAGTGAGCAGCAAGGGCTTGATGGATGAAGATGACCTCTATGGCAAGCAGTACACCATTAAGAAAACTACTACTTACAGCCAACCTGGATCGGGGCAGGGCCAGACTCAAGGTAATATTTGCTTTTATTTAATTAAGCACACAATTTGCCTTTATTCCATAAAGAAACTAAAAACAATGTCTATGCTTGACCTATGCAGGGCTTTTCAACCTTTTCACTGACTGTACCACTTTTAGGATATGGCAATATTCGAATACCACCTAGCAAGGTGTCAAAAACTTGATGAACAAAAAAAAACCCTGTTAAGTTGCAATTGCACTGAAATGACTTATGACCATTTTTTACACTTATGACCATTGCAGCATGCCCAGGGTCATGTGATTTGTATTTGGATGCTTGGCAACTGGTTCATATTTATGATGGTCAGTGTCCCAGGGTCATGTGATCCCCTTTTGCAACCTTTTGACAAGCAAAGTCAATAGCAGGGGTGCTGGTGGCCAAGTGCTAGACTTCCCTCCCTCCTTCCTTCCCTGCCTCCCTCTTTCTCATACCCACCTCCTTCTGAAGGAAGAATTTGACCCCCCCCCCCATATTTTCTCTCTTCCATATATTCATCAAACAAGAAAAAGCCTCCAGAGACAGAAAAGACAAGCTGCTAAGTGAACTAGCTTAAAAAGGCACATTCCCCTTCCCTGCTGCATTTCTTGCCTGTTTGTTGCTGCCAGCACAGGTGGCTGCCACAAAAGTTGTATATCGCTCATGGCTGGCCTGCTTGGCCTGCTTGATCTCTTCTCCTCTCCCCCCCCACCCTCCTCCTTCCCCTTTGATGCAGCTAGAGCTGACTCCACCTCCTTCCAAGGCTGCTTTTTCTCTCTCTCCCGCCCAAACTGCCTCCTTTTATAGCTTCTCCTGTCTCCACCCCCCCTCCTTTCTTATGGGGGAGGGTGAGCCAGAAGTGAGCCCCAGCCACTCTGCAGCTCCAGAGGTCTCTCTCTTAGTCCTTGCCTGCGCTGTATATGGCTGTGTACCACCTGTCACTCATTAATGTACCACAAGTGGTACATGTACCACTGGTTGAAAAGCCCTGTTCTAATGCACTGGAAATAGAAAGTCCAGAATTCCCAGCTCCCTAGATCATGCACTCCTCTATCACAAGATTATTAGTCAGGGAAAATATCCATCTTAAAGTAATGTAGTCTTTGATCAAATCACAGTATGCCATAGTAATATTGCTATCCGTAAATTCTGTGTCATTTAGTTTAGTTCACATTTATTTCTGCTAACTTAAAGTTATGTGAGATAACAATTTTACATTATATTCAAGTGGTTATCAGTGTGAATGTAAGAAACAGTATTTAATCTGCATTAAAACATATAGACTGAACGCTATCTGGTATGCAGGCCTACTCTTTGCTTATTTTTGTTTTACAGGCTTATATCTACTACTTTTTTTAACATAGACTCTGACTACAATGTTAAACTGTTATGACCCACTATTGAACTGTTGGCTATAACTTAATAGTGATTTTTAGACAGATGAGTAAAAATAATTGTCCTAATAATTCCTGAATCCTGACTGTGTAGAGCTTGTTAAACCAGTGTCTTTGAAATTACCAGCACACTCTTTGAAGTTAACAGTTTGCTTTGGTCAGTTTTTAATTTTAAGGAAAAGATTTAGAACAGGAGTGTTAAACTCGCGACGTCACGTGACATTTTGCGACGTATCGCGGCTTTTTTTCCATTGCTAGCAATGGGGTGGGCGCGGTTTCACCATGACGCATCTGGCCCACGGGCTGGCAGTTTGACACTCCTGATTTAGAACCACATCACATATGCTAGAAGCCACTGATGTGAGTGGTTACAATACAGCTATTAGCTTAGAATCTGCCTCTTTTTGTCATTTATCAATGTCAGTCAACTTTTAGAAATGATCCTCTATTTTATGAATTGGGAGATCTATTCTAGACTTAAGTTCAAATGTGGTCATGACACTTTTCCTAAGACTTAGCTCACTCTCTGTAAAGTGAAAAAAGCCCATGCAAATAGATTATTTCAAAATAAAGTATAGAAACATAAAAGTCTTCTAAGCATTACAAAAGTAATCCAGAGAAGTTTAGGATTTTTTTTTTTTTTACTACTGCTTCTTGCTTTCGTGGGAATCAATACCTTCAGGTGTAAGCAGAATATCTTGGCTGTTAAAAAAAAAAGGATTATGTTTTTGTGATTGAGTAAAATGATATGGTCATGTGCAACCATATTTTGGAAGATAGACGAAAGCTGAGTTAACATTAAAATGATTCACTGTAAGGAATCCCTAATGCCAAGGACCACAGATAGCACAGAGATGAGTAAAATTTACAAACATTTCATATTATATATTGAAAGAATAGGGAATACAGCAGAGAAAACATTTAATGAGAAACAGTAAAAAAAAAATCCAGGCACCAAGAATAGGCAAGTGCAGGCACCAGCTTCTTTATAATGTCTCTCAGAACTGCAAAGAAATTTAGATTGCTGCAAAAACTTAAGATTTTTCACCCCAGTCCCTCCCTCCCTCCTTCCCTCTCTTTGTGTGTGTGTGTCTTTATGTGTGCATGCCTGTACACATAATTTTTTCAGGTCCTTATGCATTCTGGTTCCCATTTCCCATCTCACTTTCATGTTTTTAATTAAGCAGCTTTGTATTACAGCTGCCTAATCATGCTGGTTAATTAACACCAGCCTTATCTCTTTGCTCAGATGTAAAGTCACCTACACCTCATAGAATTGAAGCAGCTCCAGGAACTTCCTAATATGACTGTCAAAAATTCTGATTAGAGCTTTGTCTTCAATCCTATCTTGTCAATCATTCTTGCAGCGGAATTGGAGTCCCAGCTTGCAATGACCCGTGCCCAGCGTATTCGGGCAGCCATGTATCCAGAGACAGCCGAAGACCACACTCTTCTAATGACTACCCAAGTTGAGGGGCAGCAGACAAATGTACAGCGATTGGCTGAGCCCTCTCAAATGCTCAAGTCAGCCATTGTGCACCTCATCAACTACCAAGATGATGCTGAACTAGCCACTCGTGCTATCCCTGAACTCACCAAACTGCTGAACGATGAAGATCCGGTATGGCAGTGCAGTTAGACCCTTGGTGTCTCAAAAGGTTTCTGGGGGACTTAATAGAGCTAATTGCTTGATTTGCTATGATTTTAAGCATTGCTAATGCTTCAGTAATCTTATAATATACATAAAATGATACTTTCCATGGAAATGCAAAGAAGCTGCAGAATGCATTGTTATCAGCCCAGAACAACTTTGATCTTTCTTTGTATTTATCATGTACACTCAAATGAAAGCTCTGGCTGTTATTTTTTAGAGATATGGTTTGGAGGAGCTTAAACAGTTTTTGCTTCTAATGAGTAAGATTGTCATTTTGAATATTTTTGAACCTTGTAATTTCTTCCATAGGACTCAAAAAATGTTATCCAGCTCACAAAAACTGTTCCACTATTCAGAATAGGAGACTTGATACATGAACATTAATTATCAATTCATTCAGGACTCAGAATTTGGCTGCACACAATAGCATGGGCTTTTTAATGCAGAATGCTCACAAAAGTGCTTTTGCATTGGTTTGTTATAGTACATTTGAATTCGCAAATTTAAAATGATGATTTTTCGCTATTAAATCCTACATGGCTCCTGGCATGGGTGTCTAACATAACACCTTTTCTGGAGAGATTCTGCATGCTGCAGAAGGGAATGCCTTCTGAAGTTAGATGTGATGGGAAAGAGCTTGACAGCTGCCATCCCTGTAGAGGCTTCCTTTTTCTGGAACATCTCCCTCCTCCCCAAGATAAAGGTGACTCTCATGACCTTCCAAAGGCTAGTAAAATCTCAGCTCTTTGTGAAAGTTTCAGAGAGAGTGTGGAATCATTGGTACCAAAATATGTGTTACTGTTTTATTACGATAATAATACTAACCATCTTGTACACCAAGTGGAATTCCTTGGCTCTGAAGTAGTAAATTAATATAAATAGCACTGAAACATGGAATCTGGAGTTCAGTAGAACTTGGTGCTCTGAAGAGTGCTGTAATAATTGTTCCATTCTACAACTTCCATTCCTCTTCTTCTCCCTCCAGGTGGTAGTCAGCAAAGCAGCCATGATTGTGAACCAGCTGTCTAAGAAAGAAGCCTCACGCCGGGCTCTTATGCAGTCTGCTCAAATTGTTGCTGCTGTGGTGCGCACCATGCAAAACACCAGTGACCTGGAAACAGCCCGCTGCACTACCAGCATTCTCCACAACCTGTCTCACCATCGTGAAGGGTTGCTGTCCATCTTTAAGTCTGGGGGTATCCCAGCTCTTGTGCGCATGCTTAGGTAATGTCCCGGGGGTTGCGCCATGAAGAGAAGATACAAGGTTTTTAAGAACTGTTTTGTCACTGGAAGTATTGCAATAGCTTTGTCTAAGCACTCCTCCTATCCATTTTATTCAATATTATAGTTCATATGCGGCTTGGTGTAATTTGACCTTCTCTTTTAGGTTTATCTTTCTGAGCTTTGTTTATTAGAATTTTTCAATACAGTAAAATCATACAGAGTTAATGGAAGATTAAGGGAAAAATACAGAAAATAATAAAAGAAAACAGAAAATGTAGAATTATTTCTGTGCTTCTTTCTATTGAGTATTTTTCCTCTTCCTCTTTGATCCTTTTTAATGCCTAAATCAATAAGTCATCGTTCTTTGCTTCTTTCAGGAAAAACCCATAAAAGTCTTCCGGTCTTTTTTTAAAAAGGGATTATTGTTTTTTCTCTGATCAAACTGGTCAGCTTTGCCATTTTCGCAAGCTCCATCCCTCCTTCCTAGAGTTTTGGACTAAGTAAGAAAAACCAAATATACAGGTATAGTATAGGTGGTACCTTGCTCAATAGTAACAACTGTGAGAGGGATCTTGGAGTCCTAGTGGACAATCACTTAAATATGAGCCAGCAGTGTGTTGCAGCTGCCTAAAACGCCAACACAGTGCTAGGCTGCATTAACAGAGGGATAGAATCAAGATTACATGAAGTGTTAATACCACTTTACAATGCCTTGGTAAAGGCCACACTTGGAATGCTGCATCCAGTTTTGGTCACCACGATGTAAAAAAGATGTTGAGACTCTAGAAAGTGTACAGAAAAGAACAACAAAATGATCAGGGGACTGGAGGCTAAAACATATAAAGAATGGTTTCTGGGATTGGGTATGTCTAGTTTAATGAAGAGAAGGACTAGGCGTGACATGATAGCAGTGTTCCAATACCTCAGGGGCTGCCACAAAGAAGAGGGAGTCAAGCTATTCTCCAAAGCGCCTGAAGGCAGGACAAGAAGCAATGGATGAAAATTAACCAAAGAGAGCCTAGAACTAAGGAGAAATTTTCTGACAGTTAGAACAATTAATCAGTGGAACAACCTGCCTCCAGAAGTTGTGAATACTCCAACACTGGAAGTTTTTAAGAAGAGACTGGATAGCTATTTGTCTGAAATGGTATAAGGTTTCCTGCCTGAGCAGGGGTTGGACTAGATGACCTCCAAGGTCCCTTCCAACTTTTTTAGATGATGATGATTTACCAAAGTCTTAAGCTTTCCTGTTTTGCATTGTCCCAAGCTTGTCTTTGCATGTGACTACTGCTTTGAAATAAATAACAAAGAAAATATCCCTATTTTGAAAATGCATTCTGTTCAGTCGTCTACAACTATTCTCCACAGTCTGTCTCGGCACTACAAAAAGCTGCTGTCTATCTTAAAGTCTATTCAGAACACTCTGAATAATAAGTTACACACTACTTCTTCATTGATTATAGTATTTAAAATGTATGCCTTAAAATCAGATTTTTTAACTGCGCTTTGATTTGCTATATTCACTTGTCTGATTTTCCTGAAACACTGTAACTGCTTCTATTACTACTTTATTTAACCCTTTCTCCTAGCTTTCATTGAGAACTATCATCTGATATGTTCATTTTGTCTTTAATGTAGGGCTTTTCAAAGCCTTTTCATCTTGG